TACCTAGCAGGGTCTTGTTTAGTCTGCCAGGTGTAGGGTGGCGCAAGGCTCGAGGTGGACAGAAGTTGACTTGGCAGCAGGAAGTGAAGTCACTGACGACCAAATTGGGTGCCCTTGGTCCGTCTTGCCTTCCGGGCTGGAGTCCACGTGACTCGCCTTGTGCTTGGCTCGAGACTTTACAGGACATGGCTTGTAGTAGACACCAGTGGCGCGTCTGCTGCCGTCTCCTAATCCCATTGCCTGTTTAAAGTGTGTTTGGTGCTGAGTTATCTGCTGGGTAATGGCTGATTATGACGCGGGGCAGTGCACGCCGCAAGGAAGCTGTCTCGCCGATGCTGCCTTATCTTTGCACGATAGCCAGCTGCTTGTGACGGTATGTTGTCTACACAAGGTGTAGGCGCTTTGACCCTGAATGTTTGCTTAGGGCATTGAGGTTTTCAGGTAGGTTCCCCTTCTCTCCCACTTCTTATTCTTTATTTCATAGGTCCTTATGGTTGTATGGCAGCGAAGCATCAGTTCAAATGGATGATGTACTGCTGATGATGATTTGATTCACCCTGCGTAGTGAGTCATTTGTGCTGCTAAAACTCAGATTGTCTCGACTTGTGTCGTCTTCCTGCGAAAGCAGTGAAAGCGCACGTGTAAAACGTCATTCTTTCTTCTTTCTCTCACTGGTGCAAGTGCGATAGTAGCGTAACGTTCGTCTCACATTGCGTGCGTCATTCAGTTGACAGTTTTTGTCGTTTCCTATATGGCGGCTAGGTTCCACGCAGGCGTTATTGCGTGATTGGTCGGAACTGTGTAATAGTCTACTCGACGCGTGGAAAGGACATTAAGCCGAAGTTCAATGGATGCGTTTGATGAATAAATAGTAAGGCGTCAGCAGTAGATTTCTGTCTATCGGCCCTGCTGTATGTAGCAAACAAGGCGGCCCATGTAAAACTGTGCCACGGGTGATACAAGGTTTGGTTTAGTGAAATAGTCATGGTTGTGGTAGTCATAGTTGTACGTAGGTTGATACTGTCAAGGTGCCTAGTCATAGACAGAACGATCAGGGTTCTCAACCAGTGACTTTGGATCAAAGGACTGTGTGCAAGGCAGCGGCAACAATCCGATTTTAAAGAAATGGATGTCATCGCATTTCCAACTCCCAAACTGGAAGTCCAGGAGACTGAATTTGTCTGACATCAAACCAATGACTAAGCTGGTAGGAGTAGTTCTTAAGGTACCCGGAGGCACCATCCAGTATAGTTCATTAGGTCGAAGAGGTACGCGAACGGTCGCACCCCATTAATATTCGGAGCCGTTGCGACAACACAAGGTAGTGGGGTGCATGAAGGTTTGTTTGGCGGACTCTGCCCAGCCTTCGGCTCAATAGGCTGACCCATAAGGCAGTGGGGAACAAATCCAGTTCGGGAGGGTAGTTGTAGAGACTTACTGAAATTTGACTGAGGTCCGTCACACGCAGCATTTGAAGAGTTAGAACGATTCACATGTTTCGATCGCAGATGGAAGTTGGCAAATTTGCGCCTGTTTGGCCATAAACCGCGTGGCTTGAGGCGGGCGGTAACAAACCAATGAGCACCTGGTAGCGCTCTCCCACTGTCAGAGACTGCGTGATACGCGTGCTCTACGCTAATCGAGGTATGGACGCATAACCCGCTACCCGTTGTCGTCTATGATTAGGCTGGGAAGGATGGGTACCATCGGCCTACACTAACCCTTGACCTGCCTGGTATGTGGCAGGCATTTGGAACGTGCAATCCAGAGTAGCTCTGGTTCACGGAGGTACGCAAACCACTGCACCAAGTTAAGGCTCATAATCGTTGCGATGTGTGTCAAACAAAACCGTGGAAATCACTACAAAAAGAGAGGTTACATAACAGCATCATCATGGCATATTAGCATATTAGGTGAGTAACATACTTCAGCTATTGTGTCGCAATAAAGAAAAACGTAACCGTTTTGTTATTCTGCAAATGCCATCTTTTCTTGTCTTTTTCAACTGTTAGACAGTAAGCATCTGAATCCAAACAATTATGTACACAGATCCTCCAATGGTTACGAGTGCGTCCCGTCGGCACTCGTCGTCCTTAGGTCTCCAACCAGACGTGTGTATCCAACGGCAGCAAGACATGAAATCAACGATTTCACATGAAGTAGCCAGGTGGGCGGTTCACCACCACATGGCATTTCCAACCAAGTACTACACGAGCGAAAAGGGCGCAATGAGGTAAACACTCTGCTGACATACGCAGGACATGACCGAGTCACCTTAATTGACGCAGAAAAACCAGCTTGTTGAAGGGAATACTCACATTCTCCAAGGCACGACGTCTGAGTTCCCCGTTGCAGATACGTTGTTGCCGCCATACACGAGCAATCCTCCTCAAGCACCCGTTATGGAAGGGCGAGAGCCGACGCATATGACAAACGCAAACTGGCTATGACTCGCTTATATATAGCAACACTGTTCGAACGGTGGTATCGTAAACACGACGCTTTAGCAAGAGAGAATCTCGATGGCACCACGTGTTACAGGTAGACAAATGTCGACAGGGCTTTGGTCATGAGGACAAAAATTACTGTGCTAATGACGCCACCAACAGACATGCAGCTGCCCAGTTATACAAGGCTATCAACATGTTCAGGCTGTGCATTTCGAAGTGAGCACGGGAACGGGCGTGTCAATCTATGAACAGCACTTTGTATTTCGATGGGGCGAAGCCCGTTCCATACTTAGATGCTTCAATCACCAAACGGTTTAGTGGTTTGCATACTCTGCGAGCCGTCACCAAGTGCGGCGATGTCATCGGCATAATCTAAATAGGTTGCTTGCATACCTGGTGGTAATCGCAGTCAAAAGTGTTGGTAACCCTCCAGAACTCTCGACAGGGCGTCTTTAATCGCGAAATTGTAGAGGAACGGGGACATAGGGCAGCTCTGTCGTACACCGCTATTGAAAACGAAGGCCTAAGAAAGTTTGTCATAGACCTTCACTCTACTGGAGATGTGGGGGTAGAGTGCACGCAGGATAGCAAAAGTCTAGGTATATACGCCCCGTTAGTAACGAACTATGTGTAGAACTAAACAACAAGTTCTATCAAACTAGGTGGGTGGGTCACCAATTATTTTTTCTGGGGATGCGGTTGCGCAGTACTGTCTTGGAACGTTTTTCACTATTTTTATCGCGCAGAATAGATTAGTCGAGCGATGGATACAATGCAACTCAAGTGGGGAGAAGTAATAAGATCCCGAACTGTATCATTGCCCTTATGGTGGTTACATTATAGTCTTCATGTTCGTAAACCAACTCAGATCCAGGCAAGACTATACTTCTAATCCTAACCAAGATTCTTTACCCATTGGTTCACCGCAATCACCTTTGCTTGATTTCCACCAAAGGCGATATAAACGCTCCGTGCTACGCATGGAATCACACGTGGTATGGGATAGTTCCAGTGTCAAAGCGCGGGTAGGAACGGTACACGAGCTTGTGAAGTAGAGGCTGCAAGTTGGTAAACTGAGCCCCCACATGGGATACCGTTGGTGGCTGGCCTCGTCTACTCGGCTGGTTACTCACAATTGGTTGATGTGAAGCAAACGACTAGACACAATCTCATCGATATGGCTAGGACAGGAAACAGTCAATTCGAGAGGACTACTGAAGTAGTCCAAATCATCCGGTCTACTGTGGAGATATGATGGATCATGCTAAAAATGAACATATCAAATAGTTATTAAATAAGTTACGCTCAATGTGGATATCGGTTTGAATGGAGCGAGGCGCAGAGAAGTGACGCCATCGATAATGCAGTGGTACTGGCAAAGACAAAACGCTTGAAGAATTGCGGATATACCAAAAACATGTGTCCGTACGCATGAGAGAAAAGTCTGCCGTTTCGCTTGACTTGATGTATGAAAGTGGTGGACCTGGATACCAGAGTTCAAGGACAGGGAGATGTGTTGGCAAACAGGGTGCTCGCATTTACAAACTAACATCGCATACCAAATCGTAATCTAATGCTCGACAGGCAAATCAGCCACGAGCTTCTCTAGTGAACCAAAGTAGGATTTGACCGTTGCAAAGGTGGATCATCCTTGTAAAGCTATCCGTGAACTTCGATGCAACATACACGAGTAAGATAACCGCATGTTACATCGTAAATATGAGGTTACCAAGTTGTGACGAAGGTCCTCAACTGAAAATAGTTCGCATAGCAGAGAATCTCAAGTATCCGGTGTGTTAAGATATCGTAAAAAAATTGATATTCAAGTTGGAGAGCATCCGCCGTGTGTCTTGGATTGCGACACGTAACCGCTGTGTCAAGCACTGCTCGCGGAACTAAATGGCCTAGTGTTCAGAGCAAGTCTCCAACCATTATGAGCTGAGTTCCACTCCAGGCCCTCATTTCTGAGCTGGCCTCGGTTGGAGCGTCTCGGCTCCCTGGTTGGGGTCCGAAAGATGATGAACAAGTTTGGTTGGACACACTTGCTGATATGGCTAGGAGCCAACCTCAGTGGCGTTCGTGCTATGAGTTTCTTTGTCCCCCCATCCCTCTTAGCCTCCCCCTCCAACCACGATCTCATTATTTAGCCTTATATAATTTCGCATAGTAATTTTTTTGGTGCACAGCAGCCGGCTGGTAGCTTACCGGAACGATGCCCATCCGTTACCGGTAGCTCAGCCAGCTTGCACCAGTTGCTCCTTTTCTCCTTTTTTTCTACGTATTGCGGCACAGTAGCTGAGGTGTTCCCCACCTCCAACTAACGTGTAGTACGATGATGATGATGAGTTCCACTCCCAAGACAGGCAATTCTTATCTGATGAGTCCAAGCAAGGACAAAACACGATATGGAGTGCTGTGATGGGAGAAGGCAACACCAAAACCCTTCACCCTAAAGAAGTGTTGAAAAGCAGAGCGAAACGAAATACAAACTAAGGACACGGTAAATGGAAACAAGATAATGCAAACTGAACACAACAAGGTTACATTCACCTGGGTCTGTTTTCCAATTTTGAAAGAATAATCTCAATGTCCCGGACAGTAAGTGCGGCCTCAGCTATATTAGTCCGAAATGTCTGAAAAGCAGGAAAATGAGACAACAAATCATTACGGATGGGGTTTTCGCCTAGTAAACGCATCCTATTGAAGACCCAAATGCCTGGTGTGGAGGATATAACTCGAGACTAAATAAAGCCATTTTCCATTACTTTACTTCGGGACAGCATTGTACTCCAGCAACGTGAAGCTCAAATTGTAGGGGATTAGGTCCATATTTCGCAACCGACTAATGAAAAAGAGCCAAAACTAGGGAATGTTGCCAGCTCCCAATGGGCGTGATTCCCTGACTGTACTCAGATGACTTGCGCAGAGTATTCAGCTATGATGGCTCGATGTGGTGTTCCCTAACTCAACTTCCTACTACGACTTAGGCAACCGGCTTGTGTCGTAATCTCTGAAGCCATCGATTATTCGGTTGTGTTCAGTTTTCACTCCACAATAACTACTTTCTGTAGATTTCTATGGTTTTTGACAGTTCTATGTCTATACGTAGAAAGCAGTTATATCTATGTACCGGGGGTGGGACGCGGTAGTTACGTTTAAAGGACGAGAAGTACACTGGAAAGGTGAACATACCGTAAACTCATGTTCCTTCTGTTTTAAAGACTCTCGTAAAGAATTGTTTTCAGATTCTAAGGCTTGCTTCTCTTCGTTCACGACCACCAGTCGAGAGCACAATCGCCTGACGTAACTAGCGCGGACTTCCTCTGTGCTAAGGGACTAGAACTGGATTATCGGCCGCGCAAAAGTACTTACGACCCCGTCAAGCTTTTTTACCAAATCTTCTATGAGGGTGCTGTCATCCGGTACCACATGTTGCAGCGTCACAGTGAGGGCTGATCGGAGCTCATCTTTAAGCAGAACGTTAGACTGATTAACAGAATCTAGAAAACTAGATTTAAGAAAATGAGTACAGACCCAAAGCTTTGCTGAAAAGGTCTATTAGCACGCTTAAGCGATCAACAGCCATGTTTCGGGCGGCTGCTGCCTCTTCGTCGAGTACAACAAACTCCTCACTTGGGTCCATGGAGGGCGGCGGAGTAAATCTGGCAGCGAGTCTAAATATAGAAAATAAACAAAAATGAGAAAACAAATCATGCTTATTAAATAGTAGACAGTAGGAACAAGATGATCATCTGGTCGTCGAAAATGGAGGAAGCGGAATACTTACATACCACAGAACCGGACCGTTGAATACGTCCGGTCGAGGGTTCCGAGGGCTTCTGTGTCCGGAGCGTACGTGGGTCGTATTAGACCGAGGGGATGAAAGTTTCATAGTATTGCAGAGAGCAGAAGGGAAAAGACCCGTGTCAGCTCCTTCATCTTTCATTCACTGGCTGGATGACGCGTGTCCTTGCTAACCTGTGTTCACCAAGGGAGCAGCAAAGCTGCAGCAAAAACAGTGGAATCCAGGCGTTCTCAGGATGTGGTTATCCAACCGCTGCCTGAAACATTCCTCTGAATGGGCACTGACATATTCCGGGAGGTTATTCCAATGATTCACGACCCGGGTAGATAATGTGACGTCGGAGCGGACGCCGAGCCTCCGCGATTTACAGTTTCCAACTGTGACCCCGTGTCGAGTTATCTACACTGAGTTGGAAGAACTCTTGTACCTCAGTCATCAAGTCTCCTTGTAGGATGCGTCTTGTGTATATCAGATCCCCACGGCGACGACGATAGTCCAAAGAGAACAAGTTCATTCGCTGAAGTCGAAGGGGATAAGACAAATCACGCAGCACTGATACAGACTTGGATCCACGCCGCTGAACCTTCTCGAGTAAAGCGCACTCAAACTTTGTGAGAGGATGCAAAGCGGGTAGTCCATATTCCAATATTGAACGGACGTGAGAAGGAAACAGAAGCTTGAAGATCTCAGGCGTCATTTTTGAAAATGACCTCCGTATGGCGCAGAGTACCCTGTTGGCGGAGGCGACTTTTCGCAACGTATCCGGGATGATTTTCAAGTTAGGGGTTACAATCACACCCAAGTCCTCAGAAGCAGCAATGCTTAGCAGGAAACCACCAATGTGGCAGGTGCCGAAAGGTTCTGGAGAACCGACTGGAAGAACGCAGCATTTGTCATGGTTGATAGGTAACTGCCACTACACAGACCAGTCGTGAAGCAGATCAAGCGTTAGCCGCAATTTGTCCGAATCTTCAAGCCTAGCCACATCTGACCATAGGTTGAGATCATCAGCGTAGATCAAAAAGGCAGTTTGAAGCACCTCTGGAAGGTCATTAGTGAAGATTTTGTAAAGTTCGGGGACCACGAACGGAGCCCGGTGGAACCCCACTGGTCATGAGGACAGGCCCAGAAAGAACCTCATTGAGGTCCCCCTTCATAGTGCGACCAATCAGAAAATCAGCGATCCAGCAGAGAACACTGCCAGCGACGCCAATCTTCCGGAGCTTGGTAAGGAGTTGTTAATGTGAAACCCTATCAAATACTTTGCGGTAATCAACAAAAACAACATCTAAGCGATTAGCGGAATGTACTGACTGCCCACTTAGCGCGGGCAAAAAGTAGGTTAGTGATACAAGAGTGTGCTCTCCGGAAACCGTGCTGAGCAGGAGTAATAATGTCCAGAGTCTCAAGATGAAGCTGAAGAGCTCTTTAAAAATCCTTTCCATTGCCTTACTAAAGATCGTCGTCAGGCAGATCGGTCTGTAATTCGCAGAATCCTCGCGGTTTCCTCCTTTGTGGATTGGCTTCACGATACCTAGTTTTTAATCAAGCGGAACGCGTCCAGCTTCCGGGGAGTACCGAAACAATTGGCATATTGTTTCAGCGACAAACTCAGCCAATGTCTTCAGGAACAGGGGATGTAATTCATCAGGGCCTGGCGAAGAGTTCGGGTTCAAATCGAGAATTCTCAGCACCATGTTCGTGGTAATTTCTATGTGCTTTAAGGGAGTGGGATGCGTGCGCACAGTTATTGAATACCGTAGCTTCAGCCGAGTACAATGATGAATATTGCGAAGCAAGAAGACAGGCTTTTGCTTCATCGTCATGTAGCCTCATCCACACGCGAATACATGGCAGGTACGCCACAACCTACCTTAGTCCTTTTCAGGTACGAGAAGAGCTTTTTTCGGGTCACTAAAAGATCGCTCAGCCAGGCAACGCTCATATTGTTCTCACTTCTAGCGTTTTTCGGTGTAGACAAATTCCCGAGCACTTTGTAAGTAACAGAATCAGAGGCCAACCGTGAGAACTGGAATTTGTCCCATAGTTTTCGTCTTCTATGCAGCAGGATTCTCGGCTCTCTCTCAATCCAAGGACGGCCTTTAGAGAAAGGTCTATCAGCAACGGTTGGTACAACTTCGTCCACAATAGAGAGCGATTTTAAGGCGGTTCCAAGCGGTATTGAGATCCAAATTCTGGGGGTACTCAAGTCCACAACACTTGCAAACCTTTGTAGGCGGAGTGGATCAACGCGCCAGTAGCTTCGGCGAGGTATGCCCTGGCGGGGAAGGGTGGATGGTCGTGTCCATAGAAAGGAAAGCACACGATGATTACTTGACGCATCATCATCATCAACAACAACAACAACAACAACAACAACAGTACATCAGCCATTTGAACTGATGCTTCGCTGCCATACAACCATGGGGACCTGTGAAATAAAGAATAAGAAGAGGGAGAGAAGGGGGACTTACCTGAAAACCTCAATGCCCTAAGCAAACATTCAGGGTCAAAGCGCCTACACCTTGTGTAGACAACATACCGTCACAAGCAGCTGGCTATCGTGCAAAGATAAGGCAGCATCGGCGAGACAGCTTCCTTGCGGCGTGCACTGCCCCGCGTCATAATCAGCCATTACCCAGCAGATAACTCAGCACCAAACACACTTTAAACAGGCAATGGGATTAGGAGACGGCAGCAGACGCGCCACTGGTGTCTACTACAAGCCATGTCCTGTAAAGTCTCGAGCCAAGCACAAGGCGAGTCACGTGGACTCCAGCCCGGAAGGCAAGACGGACCAAGGGCACCCAGTTTGGTCGTCAGTGACTTCACTTCCCGCTGCCAAGTCAACTTCTGTCCACCTCGAGCCTTGCGCCACCCTACACCTGGCAGACTAAACAAGACCCTGCTAGGTAAGCGGTGACCAGTCATACGTAGCACGTACCCGAGCCAGCGCAACTTATTTAACGCTATCTGTTGTTCTAGGGAGCTAGCATGATTATCACCACCTAGTACTCATCTACGCCCATGATCGTTCCGGACACGCTGGTGCCACCCGACTCCAGCAATGCTTCGTAGACAACGATGATCAGACTTGAAGGCGCCTCAGATCTTCAGACCGATGGGGCCGTCTCACTGCCATAGAGCAGAACGGCCCTCACTGTGGCCTTGTATACACGGCCTTTCAGATGGAGGGGAACTCCCTTCTGTCGCCAAAGATGCCGCAGGTTCAAGAAGGTAGCTCTGGCTTTTGCATTGCGTGAGCTGACGTCAGTTTCTATGCGCCCATCATTGCTGATGCAGCTGCCAAGATAAGTGAAATGATCAACCACCTCGAGTTCCTCGTTAGCAAGGGTCAAGGGGTCATCAAGTGGCTGGTGGTCCTGCAGCAACACTTTGCACTTTGAAGGTGCGAATTGCATATCAAATAATGGGACCACTCTGGACAGGCTATTCAGAGTTGATTGTGCCGCCGCAACATGGTCGAAAAGCAAGACGATATCGTCCGCATAATCAAGATCAACTAACTTTTCGCCACGCAGCACTTCAACGCCTACATCGTGAGATTCCGCACGGGAACACTCCATGATAGAATCCACGACGAAATTGAACAAAAATGGGGAAATCGGACAAACCTGACGAACGTCACTTGTGGTCGGAAAGTTGTCCGTTAGGCCACCGTAGACTCTGACGCGGCCTGTAGTGTTCGAGTAGAGAGCACGAAGGATGTTCACATATTTCGTGGGAACACCTTTCCGCGCAAGTATTTCGAGCAGAATGCATCGAGCGACTGAATCGAACGCACTCTTGAAATCGAGGAACACAGCTATTGTCGATCTGCGGTATGCGTGGCGCTGCTCTAGCACCTGTCGCAAAGTGGATATATGGTCTATACAACCACGTCCTGGGCGGAAAGTTGCCTGCTCTTCCCTAATCCGTTCCGCAGTAAAACGACGAACGATAATCGAGGCCAATAGTTTTGCCACAACTGGCGTTAGGCTAATACCCCCTGTGATTAGAGCAGTCTGTGCGATTGCCCTTCTTGTATATTGCCACTACAATCGATTCGCTACAATTAGCCGGGACACTCTCTTCCTTCCAGGTACCTTCGAATAAGGAGGTCAGTGTTTTGTAGAGGACCTCACCTCCATCCTTAAATGGTGCAGGTAGGAGGGAATCCGGGACCGCGGCACGAAAACGATTGAGGGCTGTGATCGTGTTTCGTACCTTGGCCTCCGACGGAGGCTCTAAACTAACCGTCCATGGCTCGTACTGCAACACCTGAGTAGGAAGAGGTCCGGGAGTAGGGGGGCAGCTGAACTCCTCTTGAAAGTGTTCCGCCCAACGAGCCATACGGCGCTCCTTATTGTGTATCAGTGCACCCACGCTGTCTCTGATTGTGTCACTGACGCCTGGTTTTCTGGGAGCAGTGGTGCGGATTAGCTGTAAGAGCTTGCGGTAATTGCCTACTGCTCCTGCCTCCTCCATTTCTTGAGCCCGACTGGTCCACCAGGCTTCCTTGTCAGCACGTAGGCTCCGCTTTAGTTCACGCCTAATAGCCCGTCTGGTCACATTGTGTTCAGAACCAGCCGGGAGGTGTCTTTTAGATTCCAACAGGTTCACCGACCTCTCAGATATTCAGTGGGTGGTGAGGTGATAATTGATAGTGCCACAAACAGATGCTCCTGCGTCGTGCATGACGGCCGAGATCCTATTCCATTGAAGCTCAGTGTCATTAGGACAAGATAGCGCAAGTTCGCTATGCAGTGCTTCTTGATAGACTTTTCTGACAGAGGACTGCGACAATTTCTCCGTTGCCAATCGTAGGGGACGCTTGTTGCGCCTCCCAGTAAAGTTCATGAAGAAACGA